ATTCAAGCCGGCATCTGAAGTTCCTTCTGATGTCGGCTGCAACTACTTTATAAGCAAAGCTATTGTGAAACTTGATAAAAGATGACCGTTACGTTGACTTCCCTAGTTATATAAGCGCTCTAGATAGCCTTTTATAATATAATCTAAGATTTGCGCCATACCGTAGAAGTCGCCCAATTAAACACTTTTATTATCATTGTCACTATCTCATACTACGATTATAGTTTAAGCTTTTAGATAAGTCTTGACGTTGGCAGGGTTTACAGGTTTAATTGAAACTTTATTATTAAATATAAAAGGAATTGAGGCGATTCACTTTTGCGCCTGCCCTAGATGATGCATTGAAATAGCAGGTTTTGTTTTTTAGAGTATGCTCTCTATTATCATATAAATAAGAGCTTGTCCTTCTTGATATCTTGAATATATGTCACATTATACATACAGCACTTTGATCCTACGAACAGAGCAGTTTCTGACAGATAAACATCAAAACACTTTCCGACCGAGCGGCAAGGATTATCCGATTTCTAATACTGCCTGCCTGGTTAACCACTATGGGACCAATCCAAGAAACGTCTTGTGAATCACAATGAAATAAAATCCTTGGCTTTATAGTAGCTAGTTACTCAGTATCACACACTGGTATTTCTATCTAAATATCTTTTACAAACTCAATCGCAGCTACGGATGTCATACTATTGTTCAATGCCCTGTACTCAGCGTTACCAGACGTATCCACCCATTCCAAGTACCAAGCTATAGCAAAGTCCTGTCCTCCTGTTGGGTCATTCAGTGCACTGCCTTTAAGGCCCCAATTCAAAGCAATGCATTTAACGAAAACCTTGGCGTCTCCAACCGGGATATCGGTCCATACAACCTTCTGAACGTTGTTGACTATATCAGGCTGGGTGTCTGTGTCTGACTTGTTCCCATACCTGACTTGACCGCCTGCCTTTACGTTCATAGCCACTATATTCACCAACCCTCCGGAGTTTTGTACGCTCGGCGCGTCGGTATAGCACATGGTAATTGTTAATTTGGGTATCAGAGTACCAAGAGTTGTGCCATCGGTTGAGGGGGCGTTAGGAATGGTGATGGATAATACCTCCTCCACCTGACGTTTTTGAAGTGCAAGCGCTGGCTGCCCACTTAGAGGGTATACTCCGCCGTAGGATCCACCATAGGCTGGAATGCACAGCAGCGACTTGGCTTGATTTATGCGGCCGAAGCCCTGCTGGGGCGATGGTGTCGCTGAGAGATCTATTTCTGCTTCTGGGAGAAATATCTCTGGAATAGCGGGCGGGACAGTTATAGGTCTCTTTCCTATCATGCGTTGGGTCACTCTAGTTGTTGTCATATCAGTTGTCCCATTGATCAAAATAGCCTTGACCAGTGCTGATGAGATGGTTATGTTTGCAATACGTAGTGCTTTGACTATCACAGCACAACAGCCGGCCACGATCGGCGTGGCCATGCTAGTGCCTTGCTGGAAGACGAATAGGTCGTTTGGTGGCGTGTTGTCAGGAGGCGTTCCGAGGTAATTAAATGGCTGGCCTGCTCCATCTCCAACTTTTGTAGCTTGTCTAGACTTGGCAGAATAGATACATGCTCCAGGAGCGACGACGTCTGGCTTGATGCGGCTGTTGTTTCCTGTGCTCAGAGTGTTTTTTGTTGGCCCAACACTACTGAAGAACCCCATTCGATTGGTGTTCCCTCGAGGTTGGCCCAAGCTGAATCGACTGACAGGTGTTCGAGAAGCGTCATAATCAAGGGGGTGAGATGGTTCGCAGGCACCAACAGTAATGCAGTTCTTGGAAGCTGCCTGAGCTCCAATTTGCCCTCCAGGTGTTGCATAACGACCATGATTTCCAGCGGCAAACAGAATAGTGAGGTCGCGATTGTCCCATGCTGACTGGTCAACATCCACTGATTCCCTTGTGTAGTCGTTCTGTTGCAAGCTAGATCCAACAGTCCTCAAAGGGGTGCCCCAGGAGTTCGTATGAACACTGGCCCCCAGGTCTTTCGCTTCTTTAATAATGGTCTGAAGACTTTCATTTGCTGGATACTTGACTTTTGTCCCATCCTGCTCGAACAATACTTGGCAGAATAGCTTTGCCTTGGGAGCAGTACCCATAATAGGAGCTTGTACTCCTGGAGAGTCCCAGTTGCCCGCCACACTGCCTGCGACGTGGGTTCCATGGGCATTCACATCCGTAACACCACCGGGGACCTTCTGTCGGTAACTTTTGGCGGTGACTCTGGTGGTAGTGCCCGTAGAGCCGACGGATGTAAAAGCTGGATGCTGGTCGTCAAAGCCTTGGTCAGCCACAGCCACGATTTCACCTTCGCAGTCATATTGAGCCTTGGATTGGAACATAACTGCAGCCACGGAAGGATCCACAACATTGATATCCCCTCGAGCAATCCAATTGAAGGCAACGTCTTCCTGGACCTCGCTGATGAAACGGACTTTATCAAACTTGGCTACTACGGCGAGATCCTCTGGCTTCAGCCATCCCCGCAGGTAGCCAGTCTGTGGGACAAAGTCGGAAACATCCACGTTGAGGCGATCAGCGATGCTCTGTGCAAGAGCCCTTAGATCTTCAGGCGAGGCGCAATCATCATGAGGCGTAATATACACCTCATGCCGCTCCTCGTCCGGTGGTCTGCAGCCACCAGCTTTGAGCGCATCTTCAACCACATAATCTGGATGGTAAGGGTTCACAAAGTTGAGGAACGGCAGGGATCGGAGTTCTTGCAGCTCGTGCGGATCGTATTTGCAAAAGTATGTGTTGCCTGAAATGACTTGTTGAACGCCAACCCCAAGTGCACTTAGACGTTCTCTCTGTGAGTCATCCAAAGGAGAAAAAGACTGCAGGATAAGATAATCTGTGTGCGATGCATCCGGGGCGAAATGAACCCCGCCTTCACGTTGAGCATCGTGGTGAACCACGTTACCATTGCTATATGAATCAGTTTAGGATTTCTCGGAGGGTTTTCAAGACGACTAACATGGTAATTGTGACTGGGTCCATATTTACGAATATTTGCTTGTATAGGCGGTATAGATTTATGCCGGAAAGCTGTGAGACTTATTCATTGGGCAGGGCCTGTAGCTTTGAGTGTATGAGACAGAGTACAGGGTATCTCGCAGTTACACTTTTCTAGAGCGGAAATAACGTGACGACTGCAACATTTCAACCGGAATGTAATCTGCCGAAACTTGTCCTGCAATTGCGTGTGCGACTAGTCTCGATTGAGAGTTCCCTGCATTTTGCGGCTGAACAATAGTTTGGATTAGTGCTGACAATGATCAGCAGCCACGATTACAATACGGCGAGTTTCCTTTGATTGCCAACTCATTGTCCGTAAAACTTGGTGCATACTGGGTACGTAGAATTCCAACATTAGATGGAGTTAAATTGCATAAATTAAAAGGGACATCTGAGAAGTAAATACAGTTTAAATAATACTATATAAATTAACTAACTTATATTTAGAAGGCTATTGTTATAATTGATTTATTTATACATTAAGAGAGAAAGAAATGATTAAAGAGTAAAAATATAGGCAATTTAATAAAGCTAATAGCTCAAATTAAATAATCCAGTATAAATATTACAAGCAGCCAAAAGGACTCTAACTGTTTAAATTATTCAATCCAGGATGTAATTAAAATGCTACAACAAATCTGTCTCACGCTCTCACTCATACATTCCATCGAGGTAGTCGCCAAGTCAAGCTCACCATAGTCCCCGTGGCAATAGTGAAGCCCCAAGCGAGCGTCGCATACACACTCAACGCTTTTCCTTGAAACCAAGGACCGTGAAAGCCATGTACTTCAGCCTCGTCACTACTCCCCGAGCCCTGGCTTGAGGCGAAATCGGACTGATTGGGGAGCGAGACTATGAAGCCCATGATGCCATAGAACTGCGAAATGAGAGCCGTTACGAAACCAACGAATAAAAAGGCCAGTGTGACGAGGGTGAGGAGCGGCAGGGCTCTGTTGTTGCTTCTGTGATCGGACTCATGCTTGTGTCGATGAGTTGAGACAGATCGCAACAAGCTTAAGAACGCCAATGTCATGGTTGCGAGGAAACCGACCCCGATAAAGACAGTGCTGGCGATGGCGTAGTTCCCCGCGAGGTGGATTTGCTGGCACAAGCGTTGATCTCCAAGATTCTCAGCTACATCCGAGTCCGTCACGTTCATAAGCTCGCAGGTGGTCTTGTTATGTCCATAGGGTTTAAAGTGATCGCAATGGACGCTGTAAACGGGGTCTGCATTAGGATCGGTGCTGTTGACCTGCTCTTCTCTACAGATGATGAAAGGAGAACGGTAGAGGGTGTAGGTTGGTTTGTCCCAAGTTTGAGGGTTGGGATCCGGGTCGTAGTTCATACGTATGGCCCATTCTCGCGATGTGATGGTCAATACGGAGAAGACAAAGGCGATGATTGCAAAGATTAGCCCTACGAGAGGGGGTAAGAAGTGCTTTGTGCGGGACATTGCTTTGCGGCAAGTGGTTTAATGATTGTTGGCAATGTGGACACAGAATAAGGAAAAGACGGAATTCGAGAGGATGTTTAGGTTGCCCCCGCCAGGGAGGTTTCATGCGCAATCTACCGTGTCTCAATACCAAGTATAAGAAAGTCACTCAACTAGCTCGGTACATGGATGGAAGAGGAAAGGTTCAAAGTGGCGCCGGTATAATCTCCGCTCATGACGAGTACAGTATAGTTAGGACCGGTCTGGAATGTCACCATCTTTTCAGCTTGTGCATCTGCCGTAGTAAGCGTCGGGTATACGGCACTAAAGGGTTGGTGTCCGAAAACGGGGATGCACGCTTAGCTCTTCACATTCGGCTGGCCCCATCTCACCAAGCCGCTGCTGACTAGAGAAGGACGATATTACGATAGAGATGCTTCCAACAGACTGTCAGGCTCAGAGCAATTGGAATAATTCTCTTGTGCGTCTATTCCAACCGGCCATAGACCGTCATGATGGCTCCCCCTATGCAGAACGTTTGCATTCCGATGCATTTGGATGCCTTTGTCTTATCTCCAAAACTCTGCGATGCATCACGTCAATCAAAGATTGCCCCATACACCCAGCCAAACTACACTGCTTTGCGCCTCAAAAGCAATCTTTTACAACATGATATCCTTGATCAGGTAGACTTCCATAATACTCAACCAGCCACCCGAAATTCCAGGACTGCTGATATTGGATCTTCGCCCCCAAACAATCTGAACCTGCATCGAATGGGCGTGCATCTTCAATGGTCTCTTCCTCGATGCTATCGCACGGCTGCCGCTACTGGACGAACAACGAGTAGTTCCAAAGGTGGAACGACTGCGGACCCAGCGCAGCCTACGTTTCGCAAGATTCCCAATCGGTGGTTAATCACCAGGCATCTAAAAACACCAACTAATCCTCCTCCTGGGGTCAATCTCTTCCAAAGTTGGGTCGTTGAGAGCGATGTTGTTCGAAAGATCAAGGAGATTCCCGCCGACGAGGACTTGGAGAGCAGTGTGTCGCCCTTTGTCTCTTACGCCGGAGGTGATCCTAAAGCTCCTAAATCGAGTGACCCGGCGTCCAACCCAAATGTGCTAAACGAACAAACGGAAGTTTTCCTGGGCCGGAAATTCGATCTTCAGAACTGGCCTGGTACTGATCCGAGGAACTATCTTCCCGGTGGCCTGACCGTCATGAGTTCTTCAAATCCATACTTTGCTGACAACGCTCTTCACAATGCCAACGTGCTCTCTATCATTGACAACTTTTCTTACCCACGAAACACCAATGACTCAAATCCGAGGGACGACAACTTCAGTTACTTGAGTAAGGCCACCTGTGATTACTTTGTAATTGGATGGCACAGCGACCCCAATGACGACCCATTCAACATCAAGCTGGATCACTTAAGTACCTCTAATCTGAGTACTCGAGTTTCCGACCTCATGATGCAACTGAGTCCCAATGAAGCAGGGGATGCTGGCAAGTTCAAAAACTTGCAAGATCAAACAAGATGTCTTGTTCATGGCGCCATTTACGACGTCAGCTATGATTTTAACAATCTGCCTGCTCAAAGTGTTGCAGAAGATGGTGCAAACCTCTTCAAGCCAGAGGCCAAATCTAAAATAGAGCCCTTGTCAATCGGAACGACTGCTCTTGATAGTATTTTGACTTTTCTGGATGCCCATCAACATGACTCGGACCAAGCCAGCCCATTTGGCCCGGGGGGTGCCTCTCTGGCTCATCAAGTAGTGGAGCTTTCTCAGCTGCTTTATGCGGCCGGTGATCAGTATGATTCTCGTGTCCAGGCACAAGACATGATTTCTCAGCAGAATTTCTCAAAGACTGATGGTGGCTCTGTTTGGAGCTACTCCAAAGGTGCTCAAAGCCAAGGCGCGCAACAACCTTTGACAAATAGTGGCCGTAAGTTATCTGTCGCACTTGAGATTTGGACTTTGTGCTAATTGTAACGAGAACCAAATATTCCATCAAAAGATGAGAAAACGGTATTGGAACAGCTGAATCAAAAGCAGTTGGTACTAGACATAGCGACTAGAAAACTGTCATGGCTACAGTGGTCGCTTTTCGCTGAATGGTTCAAGTACAAGAGCCAGTTCATCCCCACTGTTGGCCGCCCAGCTGTGCTGCAAGCTTATGCAGATGCAGTAAAGCCGATAAAGGATAGTATCAATGGCGCCACAAACCCAGATGGAACAGTTGTCACGGGCCTCAAGAGTTTCATCACGTCGCTGAACAATGATATATCCGATCTAAAAGGTAAGGTCGATTGCAAGTCGTCTGCACGAGAACCGTATCGACTGCGATCTGATCCTACGCTTTCTATTGTGGGTTTGGACTCTGGCTGGCCGGTAGATATCTTGGATACTCTGCAGGTCCTGCTAGATGAGGAGCTGTTGAATGATATCTCTACGGCCAAAACTATCTTTGGAACATTGAAAAATCCTGTCCCTCAGGATAACGGACTTAATGTTACTGCTGCCAAGTTACTTGCTGAATGCATGGCAAGCACCAACATGGGAACCACCAATGGCAAAACCGGCACTCCAAAGATCACAGGCTTTCAGTCTTGGGGTAACCGCAATCCCTTTGCTCCCCTGTTCATTGAATGGGAAGGGCTCTACTACCATATCGACAAAGAATTATGGGATGTACAACTTCGCCCGAGTCCAGTTGGGCATCCGATCTCCCAGGTCCGATATGTTCCAGGGCAAGCGTTGTTGACAGCAGATGGGGCAAGTCAGGCAGACTTTCGTACCCTCAATGGAAGAGTCATGGTCTTGCCGCAGCCAACACTGAACCTAGAGACAATGGTCGCTCAGGTGCTTCAGAACAAATCCAATGTACTTCCTCCAGACATTGACGCTTCTGCTTTGCAGCAGCAAATCCGCAAGATCAAGTTCTTGTCTGCACCGTTGTCTGGCTTAACAAATCATCTCGTCACAACAGTTCAAGGAGCACATGTGAAACCTAATGTCAGGGTACAAGGTCAAAACGTGATTCCCTTGACTGCGGCAGATGCTACTGAAATTGGTATCGACGTCCCAACTTTGGCCCTGATGGAAGATCAAAGCGCGCTGACGCCATATGGTTCACTGATGGAATTTGCACTGAATGATTATCCAAACAACCCATTCAAACTTGTTACGCATGGACAGATGGTGCTTACAAAACTCAACATCATCGATAAGTTTGGACAAGCCATCACTATGCCTGATCTCAATCGACGACTCGTCAACCAGCCAAAACCTCCAGATGCAAAGATTTACCCAAGCTTGAGCGACTACTTGGCACCAGATATTATCGAAGTTGACGATGGGAGCGGAGGCAAGAAGAAGGTTTTGAACACACTGTTTCCAACTCCAGATCCAGTTGTTGAAGGCTCGTGGCCAGTTTCTCAGTTCATCCAATTGACCCCAGCCATCAATCAGGATGCAAGGATCAATGGTGTTTTTCTGACGCAAGACACAATCGCATCAAATAAATATTCTGCGTGGAGAGAAGCTACAGATTTTGAGAATCCAATCTGGGGCTGGCTGGTGGTCAACTATGCCGATAACGGCCTGCAGTTCTTCCTCAGTGATGGTACCTTTTACCGCGAGATCCGCAAGGGCGGAGTCAATGGCACCAACGTTTCAGCCAAGTGGCTTCCCTACGCGGCACCCAAAGGCAGTCTTGTTCCGAGTGACGCAGGGACATACCAGCTCAGTAAGCTACTTGACCAGCTTTCCCCAGAGGTCGATACAGATGGTACATACCTACAGGCTTTCTTTGACATGATCAACGGAGCAATCCAAAACATGCCCTTTCCCCCATCAAGCTATTCTGCCTACGCCAATGCTATCGTCGGCAAACCGCTGGCCCTGGTAAACGCTGGTTGGAGCATAGAACTCGCACAACCGCCGCTAGAGCCTCAGTTTGATTCCATCTCCAGCAGACCCGACACCTGGAAAGGGGAGCTTGAGAGATATGGATTTAAGCTGAAGATTGGCGATGCAGCTCGTAATTTTGACGGCGTTGTCGGTTACTTCCTATCATCCAATGCAGCTGCACCAGGGTCTAACGGTAATATCCCAGATCCACAGCCGGTCACGGAGTGGGATACGCTGTTCACATACTTCCCACCAGAAGGGAAGTCACAAAAGGGAGTTCAGGGTATTTACCCAGATAACTACCCTGTTCTGAACCCATATTACCTGCATCCCGAACCGGAGAAGACGGCCAACATTGTCGAGGCCAAGAACAGGAAATATCTTGTCACTTCGCTCTTGGTAGATCCGTACACGCCTATTCACGGATATTCGCCGACTCTTCCTACCAAGTCACTAACATTACCAGACTGGGCGGTCAAGGTGGCTATGGACAAGATGCATGCCTTCTTCCATCTTGGACCATCACTTGTCACGGATGATGTCCCTCTCACATATTCAGAGGCGAATGCAATCAACCCTGACAAAACACCAAAGAATGCTGTTGGCTTGCCTGTATCGGGAAGCAAAGGTACTTGGACGTGGTTGCAGCCTTATGCGCAGGATGGGTTTGCTGATGATGGGACTGAGTTGCCGGCTGAGTATGCAACTATGGGGGTGAATGTAGATGTTGGTTCGGTGAAGTTTAAGCCGGCGCCGTATACATTATTGGAAGGGTACTTGCAATTAATGGGCAAGTTGGACAACACAGGGGGCAAATAAGTAGGAAAGAATGCAACTAAGTCTTGACACTACCTCACAGTCTGGTTCTCTAAGCTTCATACATGCTTCCAAAACTAACACAAGAATAAATGGCTATGTTAATCTCAGTCGTCGGTCACACTCTGCTTCAGTAGTGTGTAGTGATTTATAACTGGCTCTCCCGCCGGACTTGCTGGCGTGCTATACCACTCGGTCCATGTGATGAATACCTTTCCCACCTCCATCGGCTTCACCTGCCCATCGATCACCACTCTTGTTACGACATTGACTGGCGAGATATTTGCCTCTGCAAGTCGGAATGATAGTTGTGACGAGCTAAAGTCATTAAGCTGCAGCGCATCGTCAAGTGTAGAGGAGCGCGGAACGACCTCAGCATGCAGCATCGGCAGCTTCTCATCGGTGAAGAGAAAAGGTACAAAGCGTTGGTTGTTGAGCATGCGCACACCGGGTCCATCGTAGTTTGGGGTCAATAATGCCTCTTTGTTTGTTGCTTTCGGAACAGACTCAATAGGGATATCGATCACCACTTTGAGAAGTTTGTAGTCAGACGTGATTGCTGAGGGCTTTTTGCGGATGCTGAAGATGAGATCGAAGTAGTAGTTATTCTTGGTGGGGATATAGTCCGTGGCACTGTACTTTTCGAATGGGCCGGGAAAGCGTTTTGGTGGATCACAGTAGTCGACGTAAATCTTCATGTCGTACCTAGACTGTGGCGTTGCAAAAGATCTTATAGAGGAGCTGGCGAGTTGAGTGACCAAGAGTTTGTTTGTAGGTTGTGGAATTATGGCGGGAGTTGATGTATGGGGCCGCTGGTGAGCTGGTGACGGGACTGACGACAGCGTTGTGGGTGGTTTTTGGGTTGCTGCTGGAGGTGGAACTGTTGGTGGGAGATCCAACCCGCTTGGTTCTCCTGGCTTAATGGGCTTACTAGGAGGTGGAGTAGGAGGCTGTGGTGGTGATGGAGTCGAGGATGGATTGCGAATGAAAAGTTGACGATCCCTTGGGACGGGAGTAGAGTCAACACCTGGTGGAGGTACTATCGTGAAATAATATCTCGGGTCATTGAGTTCTAATCCCGTCTCACATGAATTGGGCGTCGGGTCAACATACTTCCCTGGGGCCGCCTTATTGAGCTGCTGATTGACATCCATCGCAAGCTGTCGGATCTTGATGCCTCTTGAGTCCCAGTCAAGCCAACCTCGCGACATATCATCGGAAACTTGAGCCCCATCAGGAGAAATGCCCGGGGCAACTGTAAACAGCGTCCGGAGCAAGAAAGTGATGTTCCCTGATCCTGTGGCGTCAATAGCCTCACCCAAAGCAAATCTCTGTTGATGCTGCGGTTGGGATAGTTCGATACAGTCTAATTCTTGCGGTTGACGATCCAAAAGACACATGAGTGTTTGATCATCCCATTTGGTCCATCTACAGACCGGGTACCTCTTATCTGGGTTCTTCCAAGTAACAGAGATCTTCATGTCTGGCATAGCCTTGATGACTTTGGATCTGATGAAGAATCCATAACAAGGAACCTGAGGTTTATACCCAGCATCAGGAACAGGCGTCGAAAGGTACGTGTTGAATCGTGTCTTGATCTGCCTGCGGACCACATCATCATCTGCATCCAGGTGATTGGCCACTGACAAGGCCCCGTCAAGAAGGCAATCCAGCCAAAAGTCATCGATATAGAAGAAACGAAGCGACTCTGGGGGCAGGAAAGAAGGCTCTGGTAATAAATAGTGAGACGGGATGCCCCCGAGTGAGAGCTTATCAGCTAACCAATCGTGAATTATAACCCAGTCACTATTATTAGGACCTTGGAGATTGAATCCATTGTATGGTATTGGGGTGCCTTTTGAGTCTTGTCCCGCAGCTGTGTTGGAGCCTACAGATTTCTCGATATCGGATTGAAATGTCAATGCCACTCCCGCTTCGCTGACACTAGTTATTGCCTCGCGAGTGCTTGGTGGTCGGACCCTTTGAGGAGTGCCTGGGACTTCATGGCGCGCAGTAGCTAGAGCTTTCAGATTGCTGATAATTGACTTGACACCTGCAACAACATCAGCTGCAGCTTTCATGTTATTCGCCTTCATCATAGTCGAGTTCACCGATGCATTCCGTACAAGAGATCGAAACCGCATCAAGGCAGAGCTAAAGGTCGTGTCAGATATGGCCAGTAGTTTACCTAATTGCCAAGCAGACGAATATGAAAGATCCATCATTCCGGTTGTGGAATCAAGAATCTGATAATCCTGAGATGTAAAAGAGCAGTCTTGAATCGTATTTGGCGCAGGGACTGCCGGAGTTGGCAGCGGCACCAGTGGTCCTCGGGTGAATGCACTTGTTTCTTCGCCTGTTTGCGTTCTCCAGCGTGAGATTGTATATCCCATTCGAAGTCGATCAGCTAGTACAGTAGACACTTGAGATTTGATGCTGTTATCCTCTGACGCGCTGTTCTGCTTATTGGCTAGATCGAGACCAGCAAGAACCTTGTCGTCCACTCTAAGCATCTGCTGGTTCTCAGTCAAGTTTCGTACCGTCGTTACAAAGTTGACGGGGTTTGGGGGCAGTGCTGTGTAGATCCAAGAGAAAAGTGATATCATGCCAATGCGCTGGCTAGGCTGGTCTGTTGTCCATGTATCAATCGTCGAGTCTAGATGCTCGATCGACACCAGATGGCAGACTTGGGTGCGAGGCTGAGAAATGTTGGTAGGAAGCTCAGTCCAGACATTATTCACCAACACTTTGTCTCGTAGTGCTCCTGATCTGGATGCAATAACAACAGAGAAGATTCCCTGTTCTTGGACCCCAGCATCTGGACAGCCTTCGGTATTGATCTCTCGGACATGGGACATGTACTTATACTGCTCTACGCCATATTTATTGGTGGCAGTATCAGCCCTTGTTGAGTCCGTGAAGAGCTTTTTCACAAGAGACTTCTGGGGAAAGATGACATTTGTTTTGTCTAGCGTGCGTAATATCTCGTCGTATTCCTGCGGCAAGGGATCTGGTAGCTTGCCAGTGGCTGGGTCTTTGTAACCAGCCGCATAGTTGATCCTTGATGTTTCTGTAATGTTTGCGAAGTAATCGGCAACGGTCATGCTGAAGGTGCCATTAGGTGTTTGCGTTTTTAGATCAGCCTCAGATGTAAATCCCGGAAGGCCTAGAGCCTTGGCTTCTGCAATATCCGTAAGCCGTAGATCGTCTGGATCAAAGACTAGAAGGGCCACCCAGGGAACCATTGAACGAGCCACTGTTTCAGTCTTGCCGTCACTTCCAACTACAGGGCCAAAGTCGATTCCGTCAGTCATATTTGCCGTCACTCCTGGTGATATCTCCCACGGATAATGAGGGTCATTCAAGACAATATGAGGCAGAATTCGAGCCTCGTCTTGGTGGCCATCGGGAGGATAATGCGTATTGATCAATTTCGTGTCCAGACTAAAACGCGGCACTATGACCTCGAATCGCTGGCCGGCCAAGCCCAGAGCGCTGACGTCAGGTTTTGTGTTGTACAGGGTAAGCTTCTGAGTGCCAGATGTGATGGTTTGCGTTGCGTTGATTGTGTAGTCTTTTGCTTGGAGACTTGGCTTGTAAAAGCTGTATAGTCGCATTTCGCCTTTTTCAAGGAGTGGCCTGACTGGGTCTCCGGTTTGGGGATCTCGAGCCTGCTGGATGACTTGGGCCATAGACCCTTGGGTGAGCAATCGTGGACTAGACATTGTGAAAATGAGTTAATTGACAGTGATGTGTAAGATTGGAAAATAAACAAATATCTTGATTTGGTCGTTCATTGATAGCTCAGGTCCATAACATATCGAGTGCTGGAGTTGCATCAGGTTGTGCTGGTGATAATGTCGCCATCCTCAGGCCAAAAAGTGAAGGCGTAGCATGTGAATCGATGCGTTACCGGAACAGGCTTCGGGCATGACCACCCACACTCTCCAGGGATGAAAACAAACTATCGATTTACACCTCAGCGCTAATGTAAAGGGGCTGAAGAGGGGTAATCCCGCCTCCTTATCTCCTAGCGTCTCGGAACTACCCCAGCAAATCAAGTTATTGCAACTTCTGGCCATGTAGCTTTATACACTAGGTACTTCCAGTGCCTCTCGTATCTGGTGCTTCAAGTACGAAAAGCCATTAAGCCAAACACCATAGTCACATTTTCAGCTCCTGCATGCTGGTCAGCATACCTCTCAGCAGGCTGGGGTCTAGATCGTCCACACGGCAATGACGGCTTCTAATTTATGGCGTCGGCATTGTAACTTTGTAACTTTATCGATCAATCGATTCTGAACCTGGCTTGCTCGATACCGCACGTCATGATCTTCTGAGTCTCCTCGATATTGAGAATGCCCAACACCGACGCTGGTTTCTTGGAACATTAAAGCTGAATTTATTTATTCACCACCATGAGTGAAGCCGTAATTCAAATCTTGGACGACTCCAAGGCCAATGTTCTTCCGAATTGGAGAGACTTCCTCCAAGACCCCCAGGTCGGCTGCCAATTGGACGTAACACCAAATGCAACGGGAGGCGATCCAGAATTAGCCTGCACATTTACACAAGATGCACTTTGGAACGTCAAATTCGATAGCTCTGCAAATGACGTCCAGTTTCACACTGCCGACTACAACGTCGACAACAGCGTCATTATTGGGCTTCCTTCAACTTCAATATTATCTGGATCAACTACAACGCCCGCCCTTTTGGATATTCTCCAGAAATTCAGAGTTGCCGACCGCACCGGCAACATACCATTTGACAATGGATCATATCCTAGCCAAGATGGGAATCCCTCAGCCGCATCTCTCTCATCCCCAGGCACCTTGATGCAAAACATAGTCAAGGCCCTAGGACCTGGCCTGCCATTTCAGGTAGATACGACTGCAGAGCGTAACGCATTCTGGGTTACGCCGGGTCAAACCATGCGGGCTGATGTGTCTCTTACTTTTGTCCCATCTGGAGATGCTGCTACAGCTTTGCAAAACGTTTCA